ATTTTTATCGCACTTTTATTCATTAACTTTAACGTCGTCTTTGCCTAACGCTAATACAGTAATACCTTATCTAATCTAATCTTTCACGTGTTCGCATTGGAACTTTACTTTTTATAAAGTTTGTGTTACTCGCGCTATAAAGTCGCAATATTCGCGCATAACGATTACCCCACTAGGTTGGGTAATAGCAGTACAAGATAACAGGATATGTTTATGAGTTTTAAGCCAAATTGCTATTAGTATTGGATTAAAGAACCGAATAACCTAAAGTATAACAATTGAATTGATACCTTTTATTGAGTGGGATGAGTGAAATGTACATAATATATATAAAACAAATAAAAAATAAGTTTTCTATTGATCTATATCCTCCTTACACGCCTTGAAATAAGGAACAACAGCCGTTATAAATCCGTAACGAACCACATGCGTTAAATATAAATATAGTAATTTTCAGGTAGTTTTAGATGATAAATATAAAAGTTCAGACGAAAAATATTACCATTGGAATTCTTAATAATTTAGAGTTACAAGTTTTATTTTATTAACGATAAATAATTATTTATTACTTAAATCATATACACGAACATCATCACTTATATCACTAGATGTGTCCGTACCTCCAATTTCTTTTGTACCACCAGTACCACTATCGAGAGTTGTGTTCGTACCATGATCGCCAATATCACCGACCGATATAGTAGCGGAAGCACCATCAGCATGCCCGTAACCAGGAATCGTGTTAGTATTACTACTATTGCCGATAGATTCATTATTTAACAGACTTGCGGCCAATTGAGGATTCCAACGTTTTTCAACTGCTATACGGTGACTCTTGTTCTTAAGATGTATCTCAAAATTCCCCAATGTAAGATCTGGACCAGGTTGATAGAGTTTTCCAGGACAGTCAAAACATTTAATACGGAATTCAGTTGGATGATGATTAGGACGTTGAATAATGTCAAAACAATCACGTGGATATTTTCGCTTTAATTGGTCGCGTTGCTGAATAATCCATTCTGGGAAAACCTTTAGTCAAAAATTTATTCAATTGTTACATAAAGATCACACGGTGTACAACTTAAAACGGAATTACTTTCACTAATTTATTATTATCATTATATTAAATTTTTTTTTTTTTTTTTTATAAACCGTGTCGCGTTAAAATGAGAAATTAGGAATTACCGGTCTATTAGATGGTAACGTATTGGAAACGGTTATGGTTGATGATGCTGTAGACATTGGTAAATCATTCGCAGAAGAAGAAGTAATTGCATGAGAGGTAGATGTTGGAGATATCGAAGTTGCGGTCATTACAGACGCAACAGGTTGAATTAAGGGCGCAGACACCAACCCTTCGGATACAACAGTATTCAAAGTTATTCCTTGAGAATCAGTTAAGTTTTGATTATCTTGAACTTTTATTTCTCTCTTAACCAAAGTATTGGACTGTTGCTTAACTTCTAACGACGTATTGGAAGTTGATGAGATTTGTCCTATTGACATCGAAGGTAAGTTTTGATGGTAACTCTCAATATGTTGTGGGCCTTTTTTTGAAAAGGGATCGATGGACGAAGGGTTATTCTCCATAAACGGTGAATTAGTTTCGAGATCATTTAAATTCAATGGGTTCGGCCGCAGTGAATTGTTCTTTTGAAAGTAGAGGCCTGACGATTAGGAAAAGGTCGACGTGTGTGAATGGCATACAAATTTAATCGACGTAGGAAATTTGGCCAAGTTACGCGGTAAAATCTTCGAGATTAATCCGATCATTTATTGTACTCTCGGACTTACCGCACGCATTACAAAGAGTCTGAAATAAATAATTGAAAATTTTAAATTTGAAATAATAAAATAAATGAATGAATGAATGAATGAAAATATAGAATCATGTACCTTCTCTCCATTAGGCCCTTTTCGTAGAAGAGGTGTTGATGTTGAAGGACATCCACAGCCACTACAATGCCATTCATCTAAATCCTTGTTCGTCAATCCTGTAAAAGAAAAATACATGTAAAATATGTATGTTTGTACAAACGTAAAAAAAAAAAAAAAATAATAAAATTTAGTTTATAATTCATTATTTTTAATACGTATACTTATAAGCATGTTCATTTATATCAGTTAAAATTAAAAAGAAATCATAATTAAAATAAAGTCAAATATGGACCTAACTCACGTCGAAGTTTTTTAGCACCCTCTGGAGTATTAGCATCAGTGACATCCAGAGAGTTTACCTGAACAATTCCTCGCAAATTACTTCCAATATTAGTACCACCAACAGCAGCACGTCCACGTCCTCGCATTTTACCAGGTGTTAGAGACTTTTCAGATATTGCAGTGTAATTATCATATCCCATGGAACTAGCTTTACGTAAAACAGGTGGCATGCCTGAAGAAGGAACTGTTAAAAAGACATTTTCATCGGTGGGATCTTGGATCACGGTAGTGTTATGGAGAAGTGTACGATGCGTTTTTGGAGGTTCACGATCCGGTAAAATAACACCTCGTCTACCACGAGTTTGGCGTCTCTTGCGCCTAATATGCAAAGTAATGCAAAGTAATGCAAAGTAGATTTAATATATAATTAAAATTTATGATAAAAATGGATAACTATAAATTATATTTAATTATATTTAACCTAGCATCTCTTTCTCTGTCTTTCTCAATTTTGTCGATTTCAGCTTCCGTTAACTCTACTAATAATGGGGTATGTTGTTCAACAGCATCTTCTCTACGAATTATGTTTGTGACAGGAGGTAAAAAGTTTTGTCGAAGGTCATCGTCTTGTATAGGTGATCCATCAAAAGGATGTCCCACAAGTATTAATGATTTTACGTATATTTGAATTTGTTCTCGAATAGAATGCGCTATTGCGGTTCTAATTAATTAAATAGTATATATATATATATATATATATGTATATGTGTATATTAAAGAAGTATGGATATCAAGAATAAAAGAGAGGGAAAAAAAGCCATCAACATACTTGAATTCTCCTCCGAGACCCAATTCTGTCGTCAAAATTTCCGCAAAAGTTTCAGGATCATTTTTTTGACAATTAACGTCCCATTCAAATTGATCTACTAACGATATATTACCAACGGTCACGTCAATCTAAAGAAAGTCAAGTTAAAGCATTAATTGTTTTATTCAGAAAAGTTAACAATAAAAATAAAAAAAAAGGTATAATAATACATTATAATATAAAATAATATAAAATAATATAAAATAATATAAAATAATATAAAATAATATAAAATAATATAAAATAATATAAACTTGCTTTGATTAAAATTCGAAGTTCTTCGGAATTAGATTCATCGGTATTAAAATTTAAAGAATTGAACTCATTCTCTTCTTTAATCTCGATAGAATTTTTTAAAGCCGAATATACCTCAGCACTTAAAGAAGGTTGAGAAGGCTCCGATGATGACAGAGGATGGATGATATATCCTTGTAATTGATCACGTATTTGTTTGACAATTATTGGAGCAAATTGTGAAGCGGGAAAATGTAAATCATCACAAAGAACCTCCGCAAAATGTTCAGGCGTAATATACGTTTCTGATCAGTCAATATAATAAATATATAATTCACCACACAAAATAAATCCATAAAGTTAAATGACCATCTTTCTAACTTTTAACCATATTTTTATAAAAAGTCAAATATATAAAAGGGCGTCTACCATTCATATTCCATGTAAAGGTATCTCGTAGTTTAAAACCATCAGCACCATCAATTTCTAATCTTATCGGAACTAATATATCTTCTTTTTGTGCGATATCTCTTAATTGTTGTGATGAGCTAAAAAAAAATTACAAGTTATTTACAAGTTATTTACAAGTTATTTATAAGTTGTACACGCACAATTAATAAAAATAATTGAATAGGTAATTTTGATGGGAAAAAAAAAAAAATTTACAATTTAAATTCTTTTGTTCTTTTAGGTCTTTTTCTTTCGTTTGGATAAATAATACGAAACTTTGTTCCAGTCACACCATTTCCGTAACCTTGATATCCTGGGCCAAACACGAATGGACTAGATCGATATTGATACCTTTGTTCAGCTTGAGCTATTTCTTTACGTTTTTCGTTTATGATAGCCATTTGCCTTCTATGTTGGAGATCTAATGCTTTTTGATATAAATTATCACGACGAACATATTGTTCTAAATACTCTTTTTGAACGGGAGTAAGATCAGGAGCAGGTTCATAAGGTTTAACAGTTTGTTGTTGAGGTTTTTTAGAATTAGAGTCATTAGATTGTTTTTGACTATGGGAGGAACGATGGACAGTTTGGGAAGGCGCAGCATTTTGAACGGGTCTTCTCATTTGAAGCATCATTTGTTGTTGATTTTGTTGAGCTTGAGCAGCTAGACGTTGTTGCATTTGCACTCTCTGACGTTGAGCAGCTAATTGTTGTTGCTGATTTTGTAATTGTTGTTGCTGCTGTTGCTGCTGCTGTTGTTGTTGTTGCTGCTGCTGCTGCTGTATAGGTAATAAATTTTGCCTAGGAGTGGCAACCATTTGTCCTAAAGATCGATTAAAACCAGGTCGGAACACCTCCATTCCCATGCCATTGATATTACCTTGATTACCGTAAACAGAGTTGTTAATGGCTGACATGGATGGTATTTGAGTCGAGGATGTTACGGGTAACGACTGGTGATTTTGAAAAACGTACGGATTGGAGAGAGTTGAAGCACTTTCACCACCTAAACCTCTAAGTTGCTGCATGGTTTGATTGCTTGTAGTCCCATAGTTGGGCTGTTGTTGTGATTGTTGCACGATTCCTGTATTCATCGCGCGTTGGTTGGCAGGATGTTGAGGGGAAAAATTGGTTGCATATTGCTGCGATTGAGATTGTTGTAATAATGCAGGATTTGTAGGGAGACCGAGCGAGTTATTATTATATCCAGCTTGTTGCTGTTGGTGGCTTATATTTGGCAATGAAGGGTAGGAATCCATCTTTAAATATGCTTACTCTGTGATGGTGAGTTTGATCAACGAGGTGAACGATCGCGACTTGTTAAAAATTTTGTAAATTCACATTCATCCTGCCTAATTTTTAGGGGGAATTGATCACGAGATATGATCGGCGTGAATGGTACCACGATGGTTACTTTTATAGTTTAGTAATAAAATTAAAAGTTTTTTTTTTTTCTGCTCGTAAAAAATTCATTTCATTATATATATATACACACACATATATATATATGTATATGTATATATATAAAAGAAAAAATTTATAAAATACTTTGATAATATAAAGTAATTTGATAATTATATAATTTGCAATGATTTTTTTCATAATGGAATAAAATATTTCCATTGATAATTTTTTTTTGATTCTAAAGAAATACTTATTCAGGAAAAATCATCCAAAGCACGATCGAGTAAATTTATAGAAATTAGCCGGTTGACGCGAAGGAATTGTTTAAATTAACGGATATGCCCATTATAGGAAATAATATAATAAAGATGATAGGAAATATTAAGTGAAACGTTTATAATATATCAGAAATGACTTTTGGTTGAATCTTTAATTTAACCCCTTTTAATCCTTTTAATCTTATTAACATAGACCATCCATGAAGAAAATCAATGATCGCATATTAAGCAAGGCAACAAACATTATAAACAAATCCCGTACCCCACATTAACATACATACTAATCGACAATGGAAAAATGCGTTCACTACTATTTGTGTTTCCACGCGTAACTTGTGTACAAAGTCACATCGAGATCTGTGCTAGAAGGATCGTGATTAATCATATTTAAAAATCATAATGGCAAACTTTGCCTAAAAGGTCCCTATCGTCAAAAATACAATGAACTTAAAACGGTATCGGTATAAAATTAGCATAATAGATATATAATATTGTAATAGACTGTGATAAACTGTAATAAACTGTAATAGACTGTAATAAACTGTAATAGACTGTAAATAGACTGTAATAGACTGTAATAGATAAATAGATAAATAGATAATAGTGATAAACATGAATAAATTTAAAAAGATTTGTACAAGCGAAGAAGTTCATGCATGTTCTTTTATTATTAAAAAATAAATAAATGAGAATTTAATTAATTTAACTTGGCTAATTGTTCCCAAATTTGTCAATATTTGAAATGAAGGTCAGCAGTGCATATCAAAAAGATCTATGCAGAAACTAGTGCAAAAATTAATTTCGTAAAAAATCATGTGTCATGATTTTTCGCCAAAAAAAAATATAATATACTAAATAACAGAGCAAATAACGTATTTGATATGTATATACTTACGTTTTCTCTTGATATTGTTATGAATTCTTTTTGTGATAGAATCTTTTGTCAAACTAATTAGAATACATCCGATTAAAAACTTATCTTCTAACTAATAATGTTTAAGAAAAGATTAACAGATCTAAAATATAAAACAAAAAAACCTAATTTGAAAATACACGAATGAGAGTGTAAGCCGTTCACTCTTTGCAAATAATGCCATGCTTTTAATGTTTCTTCTCTCAAGTCTGCAAGTTGGTTGGCCAATGCAGTTTAAATTATCATGTGCAAAAGGCCCGTGCAAAGAAAAGTATGTATATAACGATAAAATAAAAAAAATTTTAAAATGTTACTCCCCCATTTTCCTGCATGTGTCTTATGATAATTCTTGTGCTAGCATGTTACCACAAAAGTATTCATTAGCCCACGGGGAACCAGTCACCATTCGTCAATGTGTCTGATCGGCCTGACTATTTTGAGTGAAGATCTCAGATTAAACATCTATATTTACCTTATGCATATTATACCCTAATCCATAACATGCTCAGTTTATAGCAATATCCTGTTATCAATACTTATTGTAATAATTGATACTTATCCAACGAATTGGCTCAGGAAATGCGTCTATATGCTCTCTTGAGTATTTTTGTTACATATTTCTTTTCTTTTTTTTTTTTTTTTTCCTGTATTTTTTTTTTTTTCTTTTTTGAATTGCTGGGAAAAAATAATTAATACAAACGAAAATCTCTCTTATTTAGGTTTTCAGTGCCGATCTTAAAATTTATTTATCCTGGTTGGTTCAATCCTATTCCCGAATTCTGGTCATCCGGTTTAAAAAAATATTATTGATAAACTTTACCCAATTTTCACTGCATATATTCGTCCGCATCTTTTTTTTTTTTTTTACTGTAAAAAAAAAAAGTTATTCAGAGGCTATTTTTGTGTTTGTGCACTATCTAAACTATCTCATTTGTGTAATTAAAAAAAAAAAAGGTGACCTTACGTAAGTTTAGAAGACAAGAATGTTTTGATAGACATGATTTCGTCAAATTAAGATAAATATCGACAGTAATCCGCCACGGAAAAGGTTTCATCTCATTTTTATTACAATATTCACAAATATTTTATTATAAACTGCGTTCGATTTAATTATGGCGTCTTCTAACCCTTCTAAGCGTCCACGCTTATCTGAAGTGGCCCAAAGTGACTCTCATATAGAAGAGAACCATCAGCATTTACAACTTCATTCTCAACAATTTCAACTACAAAATAATATTCCAAAACAATTATATCAACACAATCCGGCTATTGTTAATTTCTCCTCTCCTCAACAACAACAACAATCCTTCCCAACTTCCTCAGATAATATGGATCCTTTATTACAGTCTTCTGACCCTGATAATAAAAATGAAGAGTCTTTGAATAAACAAGATTTACAACGACTTGAACAAGTCATCGATTTAGTGTTTCCAGATAAATCCGCTGCAGCAAAAGAAGCAGCTACAAAACTTTTAAATTCTTCAACCATTCAAAGCCAGTCTTCTTCTTCTTCTACAAGAGATGATAACACAACTTCTGTTGTTCTTGACTTTCCGATCCTTTCTGAGCAAGTTACTGAAACAGAGCAGATAATTTCTCCGTTGGGTTTTCTGCTAAACCATACCTTTCCTAATTCTATTGTTGAATTAGTTACCAAACTTAACAAGATGTCTATAAATCCTGCAAGTTTGGATTTTCTGAATCCAAATTCTAATCCTTCATTCGCTTCTGCGAATAACCCATCTTTTACTGACCCCTCAGCTAAATCTCCAGGCCCTCCAACAAAAGAACTATGTAAAAAATTAATAAACGAATATTTTACCAAATTTAATGTTGTCATTCCTATCCTTAATCGTAGAAAATTCATGAGTCATTCTGGTGATAAAACAAAACATTCCGAATTGCTTGTCAACGCAGCTTTGGCTGTTGCTGCGGCAAGATATTCTGATGATCCTTCAATTCGAAAAACTCCCAATAAACCAGGCGGTGTGTTTTTTGACTCTGCAAAGGTACGCGATATTTTATTTTTTTTTGTTTGTGCATGTTTTTATTTGTTCACGTGACAAATGACGTATTTCTTTAATTTTTTCATAAATTAGAGGTTATTGGATATGGTGTACGATACACCAAAGTTAGAAACTGTTCAAGCATTAATTCTCTTAACACATGCGGAGGTCAGCGTGTCACGTCTTAATAGTGCGTCCATGTTTCTTGGCATGGCTGGTACGTGTTAATATTCGTGATTATGATATCTATTTCGGCAATGTCGTCAATATCGTCATTATCGTTAATATCATTTATATCGTTAATTTTATATACTAATTTTTTTTAATTATCTTCTAATTTAATTTCTAGTTCAAATGGCCCATGCTTTACATCTTGAACGTGATGATACTTCTTTACCTTTAGAAGAAGATGAAGAGAGACGAAGAGTGTTTTATTGTATTTATTGTTGTGAGAGGTTTTTATTTTTATTTTTTTTTTATTGATCAATTTCTAATCTTGCGCTTGTGTCAATAATAATATTATAATAATAACATTATATTATTATTGTTATATTCAGATGGTCATCATTCTCATTGGGCAAACCTTCTTGCACTGAAGATACAAACATCAATGTTCCTTTACCTACAATGATGTCATTCAACATTTTAACAAGGAGCTTCTTCATAGCATGGATAAAGTTATCACGCATACTCGGTCAAATTTGGAAATTTGGTTATTCTTCTCAACCAAAAGCATTTCGTGCAAATTGGTTGGATCATGCAACTGATCAAAAAAGCGTTTTAAGACATATACGTTCGGCATTAGCAAAATGGCTAAAAGAATTACCTGACGAATTACAATATCAATATTTACCTAATAATGACCAACAAAATCACATACAATTAACGACTTTTTCTACTTTTGCAGGTAATCTATTTACTACTGTATTATGTCTTTAAATGTCTTTATTGATTTTATATTTATTTTATATTTATATTTGTTAATACATTTTTCTAGGATATATCAATATTCTTTTCCATACTTGTATAATCTTACTTCATCAACCTTATCTATCCCAAGCATATCGTGATCCAAAAATTGAAACGCGTAAGCATGGTCCAAATGGTCCAATTAAAACATGTCTTACCGCGGCATTAACAATCACCGATATTGCTAAAACAACACAAAAATTTAACAAAGAAGCTTTCTGCACCTTTACATATCCTATCTATGGTTTATTGCAATCAACTATACTAGAATTGGATATTGCAAATGGGAATCGAGGGTATGAATCAGGTGCTAGAAGGTCCATAAATGATTCGATTGAAGAATTAAGATTGGCTGCTGAAAATTCTAAATTTACTTCTCTTCAAGAAATGGTTAAAGAATTGGAAGGTGTTATGATGATAGCTAATGGAAAATCTTCTGATATCGTAATTCCATTTCCTATTGTTTTACAAATTTTGGAATCTCGAAACAGTTGTGGTCTACCCAATAATAATAATTTCGCCAATAATGGAAATGTACCATTTGGTAAAAATTTTGGTTTATCAAAATCCTCAATTAATTACAAGTCTACCGGTCCTGTATCATCCAACTTACCAGATGATGATTTAAAAATGGTTGATCCGCCAAAAGTTGAATTTAATTCAACTGAGCAAACTCCTGAACAACCGGTTGCTAATAGCTCACCAACAGTAACATTATTACCTGAAACTAATAGATCACCATCAGTAACTTTACTGAATGAAAAGTTAGCACCCACATCCTTATCATCACCAATAAACTATCACCAACAACATCCTCCCACGATACATCAACAACAAACAAATCCAGATGTGTATATGATGTCACCTGATTATCAAGATCAAACTTCATTACAATTTAATCAACCTCAATCTAACATTGGACATCATATATTATCTAATTCAACTGCACCGTGGGACCAACCTCCATTCTTTATGGATAACGAATTATATGGTTTTGTGAACGCTCATAATTATAGTTTAATCGATGATTTGACGGGATTATATTCAACAATTATGAAAGATGTTGATGGAAATAATTCTGCCACTCTGTAACAATAATTCTGTAACAATAATGGTGATACAATAATGGTGATACAATATTATAAATTATTGGTCAATTTTTTTAATGTAGTTTTTTAAGTTTACTAAAAATTCTATTACATAAGCTACTTAATCCCACTTTTAGATAAAATTTATGTTTTGAGATTTCATATTAAGATTCGAAAAAACCACCTTTAAAAAAAAATAGCACATATTCATTTTGTTTTATTAATATTTTAAATTTAAAATTTGGTAAATTTGGTGACATGTTATCTGTAAAATTATATTATGGTGTAATATTATGTAAAAAAAAAAACATTTATATGATTCAAATTTTAAATTTAATACTATATATTTTTTTAAAAAAAATGGGTTAAATATATTTATTGTAGATAATTTGCTATATGTATATATGTATAAAGATTTTTTGTTATTAATAATATATATACAGTTTTTTAAATACGTATATATTGTTAATTATAAGCGTTTAATAAAATATATGAATAATTTGTTTATTACATAATATATTACTACGTATTACGTACGTATACGGCTGATCATAATAATAATAATAGAACATCTAAACCAAATGTTTTTAACAAGTGCATGCTTTATAAGTTCACCAATGTATATGTACATACATTACTAAGTTTTGGGGCTTAAAGCTAAGTACACCGATAGTTTACTTTGTAACTAGATCTGATTTTGATGATTGATCCGTTACTTTATTGGTATATAGCGTATTGCTAGTTAACATTCATTACTTAGCTACGGTAACTCAATATTTTATATAGTAAATTTTATCGTGAGTCCGATATCAAGCTAACCCACAGGTATTAGCTGCATGTATAAATTTTCAACTTTAAAAATTTCCGAGGCAACATAAATTCCGTATCTGCATTTCATGGCTCTGGTTCCATGCTGACAACGTCAATAAGACCTTCTTAGCCAAAATATAACTCTATTACGTAGAATGCTAATTTTATTCCCTGAACTGGTAAAACAAAATAACTACGATTATGGTCTTAGATAGTAAAATATAATTATCCGGAGCGTAGCGGAGGACAAGATTTTTGTGCGTCCGCACCTATTTTTAGATAGATGATCATCAATTTATCAACTATATCAGCCAATATATTTCTTTTTATTTTTAACTACGCCCCGGATATCTGTTTTCCTAGTTTACTGTATAACGATAACGATAACGGTAGTATAACGGTAGTATAACAGAATCTAATAAACGTAGCTTGGCTTAATAATTTTATTTGGTCTTAAATTAAGAAATATGCAGAAATATGTCGTGTCACCTTATCTCAAAAGTTTGATTGGGTATTACTAAGACCAATTGAATTATACGTATTGGTATGTGAATTAAGTTTTGGGACGAGTAAAATAAAAATATTAACAAAATATTATTCATTAGATAATAATACGTAGACCCCTGAGCTAATTAATAAGCGAGACAAATATAAACAAATATATATGTTGTGCGTCAGATGGTATATATATATTTACGAGGTCTCACCAGATCTAAATTAGAGTTTGTACCTAAAATTAAATTTGACCCCAAGCACCTAAAGTAGCAAGTAGCACTATCATATCTTTTAAACTATGCACGTACGTACGTACGTACGTATGTGTAGCGGAGAAAATATTATGATACCAGATTTTGTGTGTGTTTATGTTCGCGCCTATTTTAGATAGATGATCATCAAATTATCAACCAATATGGGTGACGCCAAGAGAAAACCAGGAATCCTAAAAATAGATTTCTATCCACAGCGAAATTGTGGGGTTTTTAATCGATTCAATGATGATAACACATGATTAAAGAACGTTATCATCATCGAATCGATTAAAAACCCGTAACTTCGTTTTCTCTGGGCGTCACCGGATATCTAACAGTATCTGTTTTCCTAGTAATATACATGTTGTAAGTGGAAACGAAATTTAAGAGAATTTGGAATTTCTTAGGATTACACGGTTAGGGTATAGGTTTATATAGAATAAATTCTGCCCAGAATTATAATTTTATAACGAAATTCCAAATTCCGTTCCCACTTACAACATATATATTGTACCCAGATTAGAATCGAGGCTATCCCAAATGAATTTTGTAATTTTGGCCCGAATTATACTTACCAAATTGAAATTAGGCCACACTAGGGATAGGATCGGCTTACAATAAGCCAGCTTCATCACAGCTTTTAAGCTGAGCTAAGCCAAGCTAATAAGCCAGCTCGAGCTAATCCTATATATATTTAAATTGCTTATATAACTATAATAGTTTATAAATTTTTTTTTCAATAAATCATTATAAAAATTATATTTATTTTAATATAAAATTAACATAACTATATTAAATAATTTATATTATTATAATTATTTTTAAGTACTTCAATTAATAAATCAAAGAATAAATTTTAGTAAAAAATATTTAAAATTAATTAATTATTAATAAATAATATGTAA